ACAGCTGGTTAAAAAAAACCTTAGTTACTGAAACATTTAAATTTCCTTTTGAACAAATAAAATATTATTGAACTGAATACATTTAACTCATTCCAGTTTCCTCAGAAATCTCCCTTGTTTTTTTTTTTACTTTAAGAATCAGATTTTTGTTTCCCCGCCATTTCACAAAGGAGTTACTTAGATCCCTCTACTCTGCTTCTTGTTCATCTTTATGTATTTCTCTCTTATGTGTTTGTCTAATGGGCTGTCTGTTTTTAGTTCCCAGTCTTCTTCTCAGCTGTGGAAAAGCCGAAGGTAAATGATCAGATTTCCTTCCTTAACTGTTTATTGACTCACTATATCATCAATAACAATCACCCTTTTCCTTTCTCTTGACTTTTGTTCAGTTTATTATGAAAGTATCTCAACATTTTATTTTAGTTATGTTTAAGTTATGTTTGAATCTATACATGCACTTATGAGTTTGCGATATATCTATTTATTGAATAGAATTGTTTTATGTGCTAGGAGAGAAAATGAAACATTTACTTCTAATCAGAACATTGGATGATACGATACTGTATGTAGTTAGTGTGTTAAATTTGCCAAAATTGAGACAATTTAGATATTTGAAAACTGTTAATAAAACATCACTGTTCTACACGTACATGGAAGAAGAGAATGAGCATTGCACTGTGTTTTTGTTTAGCGGTGTAATGTCAATGTTTATAAGGAAGTTGTTAATGTTGAACAGAGCGTCTTTAGGACCCATTGCATTCCCATGGCGCATCTGTTCTTGATAAAAGCTACCTCCATATTTACTGTCGTCTTCTTTCTTATTTTAAATGATAGGCAATTTTAAGCACCTGAAAAGAAATAAAAGTACTCATAAACTTCATATTTGTATAAAGATAACATTACTTTTGTTTTGCTGAGAAAATACATCTATCTTCAATAGAACAAAAGCCTGTCCTCAATGTGTCTCCATCATGGCTTACTCGTGGAGCTCCAGTAAATCTGAGCTGTAAAGCTGAAGGAGTGAATTCAGGATGGAAGTTCTTTTGGTATAAAGCGGTTCCTGATCTGTCACACAAGAACTACAGTTATAGTCTTCTGCCTAAAAGCAGCA